AGGTAAACCGAGTTTCCAAGGCCAGGGGGTGATAGCTCTGGTACAGCCGTGGGCAAACTACGGCCCGCAATAAAGATTTAAATTTAAAAAAAAAAAAAAAGAGACCAGAGGAAAGGGGAAGTGGGAGTGAGAGGTAGGATGGAGTGGAGAGAGAGGTATAGAATGACATATGAGCTATAAGCATGGAGAACAAGTCCCAATTATTGCTAGTCAGTATATACTATGGGAGGAAAATGAAATTGACATAAGATACACTGATAATGTTAATGTGCTGAGAGGAGATTGAGACAATAGGGAAGTGTTGGATGAAAAAGTAATAAGTACATAGAAAATAGGGTCATTTCCTCCCCTATGTTCCCAAAGCATTACTATACAGATCTCTAGTCTCACATTTAAAAGCCCCATTGTAATTAGTTATTTATACATCTGCCACTTTTTATATGTAGGCAAGTATTAACTTTAGGAAAACAAATGTATGCAAAAAAGGATAAACAACTGTAGTTTACTGAATGGCTCATCTGTGTATAGCTCTTATGCTGTGGTAATAATGCAAACACCCTATCAAGTTCCAAACAAAATCCTATGTAATAAAAGGTTAATATGCAAATAGACCGAACGGCGGAACAACCGAACAACCGGTTGCTATTACGTGCACTGACCACCAGGGGGCACACGTGGAACATAGGTAGCAGAGCATGGAACATGGTAGGTGTCAACCACGGCGGGATGGTGGAGCAGGTGAGCGGGGGCACCAGACCAAGGCGGGGCGCCGGTCACTGTTATCGGGGCGAGTCTCTTGTGGTTACTGAATATTCTTGCTCCTGCGTGCTGCGGTCCCGCCTGGATCTTGCACTTGCTGCCGGCACTGCCCCCGCTCTCACCTACTGCTGGCATCGGAACCACCGCTCGCACCCACAGCCAGCACCAGAGCCACCGCTCACACCTGCTGCTGGCATCTGGCACTGATCCCAATCGCTCGGCGCCATCAGTGGGTGCAAGAGGCAGCGGCTGACCCCGATCACTCCTGAGGGCTTCTCCACATTCCCCTGCTCCTGAGGGGCAATCAGGGCAGCAGCCGCCACTCGTACCTGCTGATGACACCGGCCCCGCTTGCACCCACTGCTGGCGCTGGCCCCAATCACTCCGCACCGTCAGCGGGTGCAAGTGGGGCCGGTGCTATCAGCATGTGGGAGTGGCAGGAACAGGGCTGCCAGCAGACAGGGGACCGGGGGCCTTGGTGGGAGGTGCTGGGCAGGGGTGCGGAGAATGGGCTAAGACCCGCCCCTGTGCCCACTACAGTATCACAGCCACAGTTCCTTTCAAGGTGCACAAATTCATGCACTGGGCTCCTAGTTACTATATAACTATGTAGGAGAGGAATAGGGAATCGGAAGTATGTATGTGTAATGGGAAGAAGGATGGTGAAAGAATGCTAAATCTTAATTTTCCATTGTAGGAAATCACTAGATAGTGCCAAATACTGAAAAATATATCAAGAAATATCACTGAAAGTATATTGTTCAGTGATATGGAGGTAAATACCAAAAGAAACAGTTAAGAGTTGAAAGTGGTAGCTTTTGGAGAATGGCAAAAGGGAGTGTCCTAGAACAGATGACAGGGCTGATATTTTCAATTAAAAGCCTTGAAAAACTATCTGGCTCAAATTTCATGAATGTTTAACAGTAATAAAAAATTCAAATAAAATGTAAGTGAAGGAAAACAAGCAGTGCTATGACCTGTCTCCACCTACCCAGATCTCTGGAGATGGAACTGAGTCTGGTTTATACTCAAGGGAGAGTTGAAAATCAACAATGCGAAGATGGGACACATTAAGGAGTACAACTAACCACAGTGGGCCAAACCCTGAGTATGATGCTCAGTGCTACTCTTTTCCTGAAAGTGTTTTCATTTGTAAAACTGCCTATGACCATTAGGAAGAATTTGGGTACTTTTCATAGAAAAGGGTTACTCTTCCTGCATGTTTAGCTACAAACAGATGCTCCCGAGGTCCTAAGGGAAACTGACTGGCAGGCTTGCTGAGACCTACTGCCCAACTGCTTTGATTCATCTCCCTGAGAAATGAAAACTTCTCTCTGACAAATGAGTCACATGCAAAAGCTGAATATCATAAACTGAAGGTGTGAAATGAATGGGATCTTTATACCTTGCCTCCCTAACACGCAATCAAACCACTTACTGGGTGGAGAAGTGTGACGATGTGCACCTCAGGAGCATAAACAGTTGTACAATCAAGTGAATTTTTAAATATTTTATACAGCGATAGTAAAAAATTTAACATTTCCCCTCAATGAAAAAATACCAAGGCAATCTTTAAACAAAACTCTCCTTAAAACATAAATACTTAATTATCATTAGTAGAATTTTAATGTTTTAAATGTAACAGCAAACCCTTTGGATCAAGATTAAGCTTTAATTAAATAAGATCCAACTAAGTGACTAAGAATTATCCAAAGTAACAATCTCTAATTATGTCAAAATAACATGGAAATGTAATGAGACAAAAAAATAACTTGTACTTGCCAAACCTCCTCTAAGGAAAAGTACAGTATGCAGCAGAAAAAAATATTTTCCTTCAATCTTTTTATTTTGAAATTTTTCAAACCCACAAAAATTTGAAAGAGTAGAATATGAACACCCATATATCCTTCACCAAGATTTCACCAATTGTTAAGGTTTTACATTTGTTTTCTCGCTCTCTTGATCTCTCTCCCTCTCTTCATGTAGTGTGTATATGTCTGTATGTCTTTTTTTCCCCTGAAACATTTGGAAGTAAGTTATAAACATCTTTCTACTTTATCCCTTAAATATCTCAGCTTGTGTCCCTAAGAACAGGAATATTATCCTTCATAACCACAATACCATTATGATACTTAAGAAAATTATTATTAATTCAATGTCCCCACAGTGTCTTTTATAGCCGTTTTCATTTTTATGTCCTGATCCAAGATCCCATCAAGTCTCATATATAGCATTTGGTGGTTATGTCTCTGGAAAATGCTTAAAGAAGCCACAAAGGATAATCCTGAACCAGGTGACATACCCCAGTAATAACCGATGACTTCTTAGGAGTGGGCTGAGTTGATGAAACTTTTTGTTTGTTTGTTGAAAAGAAACAAGTGGCTAGGGCAACAGAAGAACTACCTTCTTAAAACTAATATCCTTATAAAATGTTTAAACACTTACGTAAATTAGGCTGAGTGTATGGAACTCATCCTGGGTAGTAACCTCAAAGTTTTAAAAAGTGTCAAACTACAAACATGCCTAGGACACCGAATTATTAAGTTGTTCAAAATTATCTTGGTTTGACACTAAGGTTAGAAGAATAAGAAAATGAAGGCACACTTGATAATAAGAGTAAGTACAGTGTATACAAAATTACCTCTTCTGTAGCTGCTCATCAGACATTTGCAGCTCCTCCTTTAAACGCATATACCTGTCTTCCCTCAGCAGCCTAGAACCATCATAGAGGCTTAGCTCCCGATCATGGATCAACCTGAAGGGACAGAGAAAAATCAGAAAACAAAGTAATCAGTGAAGTTATTGGAAGTAGAAATCAGTCAGTTAACATTTTAATAATGTCCATTATTACTGGCAATTGAGTCTAACAATTTTTGTTGCATCTTTCAAAATTTCAAGTTGGCTAGTTCTGTTATAGTTGGCAAAAATGTTGGTTTCTGTACTAAAGAGCAGCAGTCATGGATACTAGATATGGACAGGGAGGAGGAGGCTGAGGATGAGGAGGAGCTGGAGAGGTGGAGGGGGGAGGGGAATAAAAAGAAAGAGCTGAATGAGTGACTCAGGATAACCATGAGGTGCAAATTAATGTTTAAGGCAGTTGGCATGTGCTCCCTGGAGTCAAATATAACTTTTTAACTACTCAAAATATTTCTATCTTTGGAATTACAGGATTTAAAAGATCAAAAATCTGTATAATAGCTAGTGCTATTTCATGTATCCACTATTATGTTGACGTAACTATCCACAGCACAGCAGCATTGTCTTCCAGATGTTGCAGAGGTTGAAAAGTGCTGTTCTAGATCTTACTCCAGCCACCAAGTCTCCTGATGCCCATATTACAGCTGCCCCACACAATGGCCACTTATAAGCACTGAGGGGAAGGGAGACTGCATAATGCAAAGGTTAGAAGCATGGGCAGTGGAATCGGTTGGACTTGGGTTCAAACCACCTCTATACATTATGAGAAGAATGACTAGGGAGGGGGGAATTACTCCACCTCTTTAAACTTTTATTTTTTATACAATTAGGATTATAATACCAACCACATAAACAGTTGATGGAAGGCATGTGCTTAATACAGTTGTTCTCAACCTTGGCTGCACATCAGAATCTCCTGAGAAGGGTTAGGTGCACCTTTTGAAATTTCAAGTTGGCTAGAGCCCAGGCATCAAGCATTTTTAAGCTTCATGCCCACAAGGTGATTCCAAAGTTGAGAACTTCAGACTCAATGGCTTAGCAAAATGCCCAGCACAGAGTAAGTACTCAATTAATGGTAGCTGCTGCAGCTATTACTACTTGGCCTAATGGGCAAGAGATAGCTAATAAAAGGGGGGAGTGTTATTTTGTTTGTGTCGGCATCAGTCTGTTTAGAAGAGAAAAATTATAAATCTATTGATTGTTTATAATAAATCACTGGAAGTATTTTTAAATGTTCTCAAATCTAATCAGGATTTTTAACACAATGTTTTTGAAATCTTTAATTATACTCAGTATCTACATGTTTTCAAGGGAAAAAGACTCTGAATAGTTAGTTGGGGAATCACTCCACTTATTTGAACTTTCCTGATAAGTCAAAGTTAGAAGCCAAATGTCTATAAGTGATAGAATCAAGCTTGAACAACTATAAAAATTAGTATCTTCACTGACACAGAACGGGAATATTTTCCATAAAAATCACACATGAAAATTTTCCTTAATATTAAATTCAAGAGCAGTTAATTAGGAATGTGTGGATATTTTCCTCACCTAAAATACAGTAAGAGAACAACAGTTAAACAAATGTTCCAGTTTGTAAACACAAAGTGAGCTTTTCAGATTTAAAATACAATAAAACAGCTATTGCACATTTTACAGAAGGAACCACGTTTTCTCTCAAAAAAAAAATTCCAACAAGATCAACCAGTAATGTAAATCTATGATTCACAAGGAGTTGTAAACAGTGGAGAGGTGACTCTCACAAACTGTAGAAACTGGAGCTGTGTGACATGCTGCATATATTAATAAGCATATATAAAAAGTCATTCAAAATTACTACTTAAAAGTTTTTTAAAACACACAGACTTTTTTTTTTAAAGTCTGTTCTACTTAGCTATAGAATTTTAAGTTTTTAAGAACCTATGTAGCCCAGTTTTAAAAGAGAAGATGTAAGGAGTTCCATGTCTACTGTTTCCTTGGAGTATTTTTTTGTGTTTGACGCACGCAAACCTTTGCAACACAGCGAGCGTGCCTGCGTTGACCCGATGAATGCCATCCAACAGGACCAGCTTTCCCTCCAGAGCAGCATTCACAAGGGGCGAGGACCGCCAGGCGGTGTCTCCATTGGGGAGAGTGTATCTCTGCTGTAGCAGATCGCGAGCTGTCATGTCCTAAAACCAAATCCACCACCCACCAAAAAAAAAAAAAAAAAGCGGAATTAATTTTTAAGACATGATTGGCAGCTTATTTAGCTTTATAGTTACCTCTCTCTGAACATTACATGCAACAACTGGGAATTCATCTCCAAACCCATCAAAGAAAATGAGATTCAGAAGCTTTTCTTGGCCATTTGAGGTTTTTTTCCCTATTATTCATCCACATAACATAGTAAGAGTGAGGGTGAATTATTTTCCTTTTAATTTAGCATTATTCCCCTTTTAAAATGTTCACTTAATATCTACACAGATGATGGCAGTTGTTTCCCCTGGTTTTAATGGAATTAACTCAATCAGCTTTATTCTGATAGGGATGAAAATGTATGGATTCCTTTTTAAGAATAAGAGAACTCAATGGGTGGAGATGCTTATCAATAACATGCCTTTTCTTGATGAGTTCTGAAAAGCCATGCTAGGAACCATCAAAGTGACTCATTATATTTAAAGGGCTTGAAAATGAAGGAAACTGCTGAGAACAGTCATCAGATGAGGTACAGGAATTGACAAACAATAGCACCGCACTTATAAGCAATTTTTAAACTCCCACAATGTGGTAGCATGAAAGTGTAACAGATTTAAGCAAACTATTAATAGTAGTTGCATATAAAAATCTAACTACTACCTGGTACTAAAAATTTTTGGTGCCATATAATATGAGCAATTTTTCTTAAATGTGTTTATGTTGAAGACAATAGTTTGTTTTCTGTTATCAACATCATATAAATTTTGTCCACTTATATCAAACAAAAGGCAATTTTAACCAAAAATTCAGTCTTTGTAAATTCTGTGATATGCACCTCAAGTTTTAAGCAGATAAAAAAACTAATGAATTTGCTTATATTCACAATAGCAACAAATCTGTATCAAAAGCAATGTTCTAACTATCAAAAAAGTGCTGACTTAGGAAGTATGAATAGGCTTATATTAAATCATAAAGACACTTGAAAAACAACAATATTCAAATTCAGCAAGTCCTCAATCCCCAAAAGGCTGGTTTTGGCAACCAAAATTTGGTTTAACTCATTAATTTTATTTGATTTCTCAATTATGAATTTAAATTCTATGCAAACTATATGAGCATGTCATTCTAAGCTGCCAATGACAGTTACAACAGCCAAGACTAAATTTATCACCATCATCAGTGTTTACTAAAATGGTTAATGGTGAGAATGAGATCATTCCCACTCATAGCTGTCCTACACACCAGGAAATGGATCCTTCTGCAAGAAAAATAGGACCTATCAAAATAAATGTTTGTAGTCATTTTCATAATCCAATGATGAAAAAAATCAAGTGTGTATGTATATTTAAGTATACATATCTACACTAATAAAAGAGAAATATGGTAATTGGTGAACGACCACTACCCTTTTCATTGGCTAATCAGGGTGATATGCAAATTAACTGCCAACTCAGATGGCAGTTAACTGCCAACAAAGATGGTGGTTAATTTGCATATGTAGGCACAATGCAGGGAGGCGAAAGGGAAAGCAGGAAGAAGCCC